GCAAGAAAAAGTCTCTTTGTTTTATTAATTTGTGTTCATTCAAAGCTGTCATGGCCCACATGTGGCCCAAGGGCTGTGGGTTGGACAATCTTGGTTTACATGCTTTTGGTATTTTCTTGAAATGTTTGGTAATTTGTAATTAAATGGCTTTGCTAATTCTGTGCTCTTGTCAAGAATTTTTTTCATCTAATGAAGACATTGTTTAAATGTTTTGAATAGTAATATCTGAACATTTTCTTTTACATATGAAAGTACTATACATGCTCAATTATAATCAGTCTGCTTCCTATTTTGTTCTCAGTTCTTTTTGTTATTCCTCAATTGAACTATCCGATTTCCTATAAACAAACAATATATTTAATTTCCTTACTACTGATGGCTTTTTCGTATTGTTTTCAGCTGAGAAAAAAATGAAACCAATAAGAATTTTACTTCTAAGAATTTATAAAGTAATAAAGCCTGTTATAAAAATTCAGGCAGAAGAAATATATAATAAAAATTGAAAGTCCCCCTTTACTCACATCCTCACCTCTTTCCTCTTTTTGCAAAATCCAGTTCCTCCAACACATAAATATAATTTATTGTGATATTGATTTATGCTTTCTTCTTGTTGCAATTTTTCCTCACTCATGTAAGAACGTATCAAGGCTACTTCAACTTCCCAGCCTCAGGAAATGTTTATATGTGCAAACCAACAGAAAGTTATGGGGTGGAGCGGGGCGGGGGGTGGGGTGGGAATGCAGAGAATGGTTGAGTGGTTTCTTTAGAATAAAACCTGAAACTCCAGGGTTCTCAGCCTTAGCAATGATTTGTCAGGCTCATATACTTGGCTTTAAGATAACATGTATATATATATACGGGCATTCACCATCTCGAGGTGAATGAGTAGATAACTGAAGGTCACCCCTGAACACATTGCCCTGTGCAAGGGGCCCAGACCTTGCATGATTTAGAATGAAGTAAGAGTTCATAACTAAGACTGAATATTCTATCAGCTGATTAGATGGAGGACTAGAATTGAAGATCATATAAAATATTTCAATGTATCTTCCACACATAGTCTATGAAGAAAGATTTATAATCATTACACACACAGACACACACACACACACACACCCTCCACTTCTGGCACAACAATATTAGCAATACCTTGAATCTGTTTAACTTTTCATTTTGTTAAAGACTTTCACATATACCATTTAAATGGATCCTCAATTTCACAAAAAAGTATATTAAAACAGAAGTTGAGATTTACCCTAGAATACATAATTTTTAAGTACAGAACAAGCATTCAATAAAAGATCTGGACTTCTTTCCTTTATACTGTATTTGGTATATACACTGAACATCTGTCACAGGCATGATGACATATGCATATAATATGCATGCTCTTAAGGCAAAATGCAACCATGAGGATTTTAAACATGAATGGCACAGAATATGGTCAAGATGAAACATTCAAAATCTCAAAAAGGTGAAGGTCATTAAAAGCATTAGAAAATTAAAGCACTGCATGAGCTGAATCTTTTCTGAAGGGATTTTACTAAATTCTCAATCTCAGAGCAATGAAGAGACTTCTATTTTTGACCAAGATGATCAAGATGGAGTAACAGGGTCCAAATTAACTCTACCTGAGACAACTAGAAAGCTGGACTACATGAATGCTTTTACATATTGGACTCTGGCAGCACAGGACAGTCATCCCTTAAGAAGGGAAGGCAAATGAGGTAAGCTCTAAGGAATGCCCGAGCTTACTGTCTGAATCAGAGTCAGCTTACTGTCTGAATCAGCCTTCACACTGCAGCCTAGGGAAGGAGATCTAGCTGGGGTCATGAGAAGACTGAGCTGGGAGTCCACTGAGGTCAAAAGCTTAGAGTTCACAGAGCAGAGTACTGCAAACAGAGTGCCAGTGATCTGCAGAGGCACCCTCACAAATCTTCGGTAGAGTACTAGCCATCAGATGTAGGTGAGGAAACCATGAACCTCCTGAAAGGAAGAAGTATAATAGTTGGGGTTCACATGTAGATGGGAAGTTTATGTTCCCACTAGCTGTAGTGTAAAAACTTCACAATCCAGATCATATAGAATATAGAATATGTCAAAATGTATTGCTTGAGTAGTGGAGCACCATTAGTCCTGGACTAAACACTGCTTTGCTACCACCAGGAAGTCGCAAAAGAAAGCCTGAAAGGGTAAAACACTTTTCAATAATTGTATTCTGTGACAAAGCTGTGAGTATTTACAGAAATGCAAAAATATCAAGCACCTAACAAGATACAGCTCACATGTCTAGCATGCAATCAAAAGTCATTAGATATTATAAAGAGACCAAGAAAATAGTACCTTAATGAGAATATACACAAACTCAAAAATGACTCAGAAAATAAGAATATTAAAATTTCTATATCATATATTTAAAAAGGCAGAGATTAAGCATATTGTATAGAAAAATGTAAGAAACCAAAAAAAACTACTAGAGTTGAACACTATCTGATATTAAAAATACAGTGCATTTTAGAATAAAAGATCGATGAATTTCACGAAGTATTTAAGGCAGAAGAAAAATGACATCACATGGAAATTTAAAGTGATATCATGGAATGAAGAACCTTAGAAAAGGAAAATGTAAGGGTAATATAAAATTTTTAAAAATATTTTTAAAGGATAATTTAGCTTCAGGCTGTGATGTAGTAACAGGGATTCTTATTCTTTCACCTGAGACAAAGAAACAAATAAATAGCAAAATACTGGAAAAAATTCCTTTCAAAAGCAGTGGACATTGGGTAGTAAAAGACAGTGAACCCTCCAAGATGGGAAATGGTGAGCTTTATGACTGCTCTGGCTTACTGACTTGAGTGAGTTCCCAGTTCACGGTACAGGGAGGATAAATCCATGCAAAACCTGGTGTACTCCCTGAGGTGAGACACAGTTATGAGTTTGAGTAGATCAAGCTGGCTACAGCTGATAGGGCAGAGTATCAGAGACTAGTGAGGTACACAGACAAAGAAGCCCTGAGATCTTGAGATGCTCTATCTTGAGTATTAAGCAGACTACTGATCCCCATGGGTGTCAGTAAATGCCCTCAGGCTGGGGAAAGAACCACCCAAAAACATCAGAGGGCACTCCAAGCACAAGATATGTGAGAAATTATACCAAGACACACAACAATCAAGTTGGACAAAAATCAGTGATCAAAAGAAACTAGTAAAAACAGCAAGAACAAAAAGACACAACAGATAGAACAGAGATAAAAATGACAGAAAATGTATTGTCTGAAATTATTCAAGCAAGAAGATAGGAAAACAATGTGTTTCAAACACTAAAACATGTTAATCTGGAATTTCTACACTCGGTGAAAGTATCTTTCAAAAACAAATTAATAGCAATACTATATAATTTCTCCCAGAAAACAGAAGAGGAGAGAATACTACCCAAATTGGTTTTATGAAGCTAATATTGTCCTGATACCAAAACCAGATAAAAATAGTTTAAAACAACCCAAAACTACAGACCAAAATCTTTTGTGAACTACAGACCAAAATCTTTTGTGTTTTTGAACACAAAACATCCTTAACAAAGCATTAGTGAATACAATTCAGCAATATATAAAAAGAATTATACAGTACAACCAAGGCAGTTTATTTCTGGAATGCAAGACTGACTCAATATGCCAAAATTGAGCACCACAGTAACGCACTGAAAAAGAAAAATCACAAATATATTAATTGTTGCAAAAAAGTCATTTGACAGAATTCAGCAGCCATTCATGGTAACAACTCTCAGAAAAGCAGGAACACAGAGGAACATCATCAATTTGATGATGGACATCTATTAAAACACTATAGCTAACATATTTAATGATGTAAGACTGCATGCTTTCTCTGAAGACTGGAAACAAGACAAGTACGTCTGCTTTCACCGCTCTTGTTCACCATAGTACTAGAAGTCTAGCCAGTGTAATAAGAAAATAAAAGGCATATATTTGGCAAGGAAAAAACAACACTGTTTTAGTTTATAGATGACATAACAATCCTAAAAATCTACAGAAAAACTCCTAAAATTAATAACTGAGCTCTATAAGATCAAGACCAACATATAAAAATTGTGATTCAATATGCTAGATAAAAAGCACATGAAAACTGAATATAGTAATACAAACTGCTTAAATCAATTACAAAATAAAACACAAGTATAAGTCTAACAAAACATACAGAACTTGTATGTAGAAATCCTCAAAAACACTGATGACAAAGAAATGAAGTATCTAAATAAGTAAAATATCAAGTTTGTAGATTGGAAGATTCAACATAGTAAGGATGCAAATTCTCCCCAAATTGACATATAGGTTTAAAGTAATTCCTATCAAAATCTCAGCAAGATTTTTTTTGGAGATACAGACAAGGTTATTTTAAAATTTATGTGGAAAGGAAAGGAACAAAAATAGTTAAAAACAATCTTGAAAAAGAATAAATTGAGAGGACTTACTCTACCTGATTTCAAGATTTATATATATATAGTTATAGTAATTAAGACTATGTGATACTGGTTGAAGCATGGACATCAATCAGTGGAACAGAAGACAGAACCCAGAAACAGAACTACACAGGCAAGATCTAGCTGGATTTTGACAAAGGTGCAAAAGTATTTCCAGTATAGGAAACATACTCGTTTTAAGAAATAGGGATGAGACACTGTTAATAAGCATGTAAAAACTGATTAACATATTCACTTAGAAAATGCAAATTAAGCCACAATATAATACTACTATATACTTATTGAATAGATAACATTGAAGGATGAGTCATAATGACTTGGCAAGGATCTGGAGCAATAATACTCTCATTCACTGCTGCTAGAATGTAAAATGGCACAACTATTTTCTCAAAGAATTGGCTATTTCTTGGAAGGCTGCAAGTATGCCTAAAACATAACCCAGACGTTCTACTCCTACTTAATTACCAAACAAAAATAACACACATAGGTCGATGCAGAGACTCTTACATGAATTCATAGCAGCTTTATTTATTACAGCCTCATACTGGATGGAAGCAACCTAAGTATCTGTCAGTGGTGAATATATAAACAAACAGTGATACATCCACACAATGTACTACTGAGCAATAAAACAGATAACTATTAATGCACACGACATGGAAAAATCTCAAGATAATTTTGTTGAATGCAAGTGGGCAGACATTGCATGATTCTATTTACACAAATAGGGATAATGTACATTTTATCAAACTTAAAAAGTTGTGAGGATCAAATAAAATGAGATATATGCCTGAGAGAGAACCAACTAATATATGAAAATATTATTTATAGTATTTTCATTGAAGTAATACAATTTCATTTTTCGGTCATTATTTAACAATATATTCCTGGAATCAGATCATGACTCTCCTTATGGTTAATCTTTATTGAGTGTTTATCATGTACTGGTTTCTGGCTATTTATTTATTCAAATCTCAATAAAAATCCCATAGGATAAGTATTATTAGTATCATTTTACAGATAAGATTGAGACCTAAAACAGAGCAGCAATTTGGGTTAACAGGAATAGAGCTCCACTGAGAATCAGGAAACCTGAATTTCTTGTGTTGACCTGGAAGCTGTGGGAAAGTCTTTAACCCCTCTCTCCATCGTCATTATTAAATACCAATAACAACTACTCAGCTTACTGCACAAAGCTCTTGTGAGGATCAGATGAGATAATGTGAAATAGCTTTATAGAGTATTAATGTTATTCTGTGGAAAATTACACGAACACAAATATTTTTGGAAAGGTAATTTAAATACAGTTGTAGAAAAGATAAAATAACACTATCCTAACTCCTTTCATGTTTTTTCATTGTCCTTATTTATATTAGTTAAAAATACTTTATTTCAAAAATTTAAACATTTAAATACTTAAAAGGTTTCCAAATATTTGCAGAATTGAGTCGGAAAAATTATGCACAGATGTTTGTCTATTGATTTTCATTAATAAGACTAGCTACTCTCTACAGTGATAAGCATTTTAATAATAAATAAGTCAGGAAATTGAGATTTCTTAATATTTTAATTATCATTATAATTTGGCAGTAAAAATCACTTTTCACAAAGACATTACACGTATGTTAACAATCACTCTTGATTCATTCATTTTTGCTTTTATGTTTCTTCTGGCAGCTTTGTAAGAATCCATGACTTCAGTTTGTCTAACTCAGTTTTGCTTAGCTCATGGTAAACATCTGGAAAACTATGAAACTTGGTGGTCACTCCTAGGGATTTTAACATTGAGTTTGTCTCTTCTGCCCAAGAATGAAGAACTAACTCATCTGCAGTACCATGACACTGAAATAATTCAGGAAGTACACCATTACTTTTCTGAAGAGCCTAGAGAAGAAGATACAAAGACAGACAAGTTTAAGAAATTCCATCTATGATCATTCTTAGAAATCAGAGAGACCAGGAAAATTCCAATTTTACCAAGACTTCGATAACTAATGGGGTTCAAAACACAAGAACAACAGACAGAGGTAGTGCTGTCTGAAGTATACACCGGTGGGCCAGGCCTGGGGGCTTAGCTGGTTCCTGGTACCACCTAAGCTGTAGCTGTATGTCACTTACATTAACTCTATAGAGGATGTCTCAAAAACGGCCAAATCATTTCCTGAAGAAACTGAGTGACTTGGGAAGACAGACCTCTTCACACAGTGTGGAAGGGGGGAGTAGTACAGAGCTAAGGTACAATCAAGGGGACAATTACATTTTAGTTCTCTATTCTATATTTGCTTTATCATTTCCACTTCTGATATTGAAGGTGTAACATTATAATTGAAGTTGCATCATATTTATATGTGAGGATATTGCTGAATAAGAACTATCAACTATGTAATTGATTTTTATGTTCATGATACAATAAGCAAACCCAGCTATAACCATCATGCAGTTTTAATATGTATAAAATTTATATATATGCTCTCCACAACCACACACATATTTATACTTTCCTCCTTGACATTTTGCTTAACAGTATTTCTTGTACAGGGCATTTCCAAAACATTAATAATCAGCTGGAATTTAATCACTATGATTCATTTGGCCATGAATTCCAGGAATGCTCAATTTACATAAAGTGTACATCAGCTGTATGTGTTTTTACAGCTTTATTACCAATTTTGTTTTAGTTTCAACATGTATATATTTCTCTTTTTTTTTCAGTTTTGTTTGGTTTTTTAAATCTGGAACTTACCTGGTAAACAGCAGATGCTTTATTCAGAAAACTAGAAAGAGCAAACACTCCTGCCACATCTTGATGATTTCTATATGCTAAATGCATTGCCATGCATCCTCCCATAGAAAATCCTCCTAAAAGCAGCAAAAACACACTTAACAGAAAAAGCAGAATACATGAAAATAATTTAGGATATATAACTATTTTCCATAAATATTTTAAAAATATCCAGAGACCTTTAAAGAGATAGAATGCTAAAAAGAAATGTTGTCTCCTGTAAGTCTCATAGAAAAAGGCCTGCGATGCATAAATAACCCTGTTTCATCGATGTCACCACTGGTAAAGACAGTTGTGCTATACAAGGAGCTGGGACTAAACAAATATATCATGTTCATCAAGTAAAATATCTATCATAATTCAAAATGAGTCATATTACAAGCATTACTTAATACTCGATATCTACTTATATTTTGTTTACAGTCACAGAAATCCTCACACTGCAACTACAATTAATAACTTGCACATTTTTGTCTTACTTGCTAAGCTGTGAGCTCCAGGAGGAGTTATGTTTCTAGTATCTGGTATAAAACAGATGCTTAGTGAATTTTGAATTAGGAAGAATGATATAAAATTTGGGGAGCTAGTTAACACATTTTTGGATTACAATATTATTTTGGAAACTAACTTATGGTGGTATAATAAAAATAAAACATGCATGTCTATATGCAGTTTTTAAAACCAAAGTTTAAAAAAAAAATTAGTCAAACTGTTACTGTCTCTTTAATGTACCAAACTCTATGTCAGTCACATATACAGATTAAAATACACAGTCCCTCCTGTTCAGGAGAACTTTGATGAGGAAACACATCCAACACAGTGAGGTGATGGCAGCAGAGAGAATGGCGATTTCAAGGCTGGCAACAAGCCACTGACTCAGTGTGACTTTCCTAAGCTTGAGAGAAAGCTAAGTGACATCTCATTACATTCCATGAGAAAATAAATATAGAATGTTAATCATGTAGCCACACACTCAGGAAAATACAAAAATATATTTTGATGTAGAATTCAAATCTCCTAATTTCCAGTCTGTGTTTTTTTTTTTTCACTTAACCAAGTATAAAGCTGAGCTCTTAAGAGACTATAAATTGAATTTACTATAATAATCTTTTTATACATGAAAGGAACTGAGGCCCAAGGAGATTAGGTGACCTGCTTAAGGTTGTGCCCATTATTTAGATATGGAGCTATTTAATAGTAATTTTGGAATTCAGATCTTTTGCAACAGAGTTTAATATCCTTTCTAGCATTCCTTGATATTTATTAAAATAGGACTACTTTATCTGGGGTAGGCAAGTAATATTATTTTGGACTCAGAACACAATACCTGAGAGAGGATTACCAGTCTGGCAAAGTTCACATTTTAAAAAAAGGCATACTATGTAAATAATGAATTAAAGTTATCTGTGATTTTCAACATACCAGCAAGAAATAATAGGGTCTCATCATCAGTAGCAGTAGCCCACATGGACAAGAGCCACCTGAAATACTCTTTCAAAATATCTCCTAATAACTCCAGATGCAGATACATCTAATTAGAAGTTCATAAATGATGTTGAGGGAGAAGGGAACATGAGCATCTTAACACTATATGTAAAATTTCCAAATGTACCTAAGATTCTGCAAAAGGTTAAAAGCTGCTGGGCTACATTATCCATGAATTTGTGCATTAATAAATCTTTGATATGTCCCATTTGGATATGAACAGCTTGCTGTAAATATACAAAATTAGTATTTCCAGTAGTTAAACATTTATTGTAGGTACACAGAAAGAATTCTCAACTTTTTTTTTTTTTGGTCACAATTCTAGTTATAGATCTCTCTCTCTGCTTCTGAAGTTTTCTCTGTAATAACATCATGGGGTTGTAAAGCCAACACATTTTAAAATAAAATTCTTATCAACATTTAATTTATTGAATATAAATCAGTTCTTCAGATTTTGAAACCCTTAAGGGTATTAAACAGTTTTTCTTCAATAATCAAATTTTCATTAAGTGCTTATGATTAATTGAACAAAATATCTTCTCTGCCCTCTTGGTGTACGTATACTAATGAGTTGGCTTCAACTTTACATGCCCAGTGGTAAGTATAGTGCTTTGAATGTAGCAGTATCTCAATAAAAGGTTAACTGAATATTTAGAAACCATATGTTACAGGTTTCTAATGAACGTAGTAATTTACAAATACCTCTTAAACTTATCAAAGAGACAACATTAGGCTTAACATAAGGAAACTTTAGTCCCCCTGTGACACTCCCTAGCTGAATGTCTTTGAGTAAATTAATTAAAATGCTGGATTTCATTTATAGTAAAACTGGAGAGATGGACTAGATAATCTCTAGAGTTTCCATCAAGCTTTTAAATAATAATAATCAGTTATAAAAATGAAATTCTAAGAGCTTTAAAAATGTACAGTTATTGTAAATACAGAAATCTACTTTCAGTTTAAGAATCCCTGTATCTCAGACACAATTCTAGCTTTCCTAAAAGTTCACAGCATAGATCTTAGACATTTACTTCCTTCATCTCTTCCAATCTCTCCTCTGTTCCTTACAGCCCATTTACTTACAAAATAATTTTGGGTTGCTTAAAATCAAACACACTGTTAAGAAAACTACATCTCAAAAATGGGAGAGGGGATGTAAGAAAGGAAAAGATGGGATCAGAGCAAAGAGTGAGACACGGAGAACAAAAAAAGACTCAAAGACCATGATGTGAGGGTGGGGCAGTAATTAAGTGTGCAACTGGGCATTTAACAGTTTCTCTGTAGCAAGGCAATATTCTTTAAGAGATGGAATCATAACAAGTCATACTAGAAATTTTTCTCAGCATTTAATTCCTTAATGAAATTTATTAAATGAAACTTTATTAAATACAAAATTCAAAATCAGACATTCTACATACAGCCACTTCTGTTGCTGATTCTTTTCATAAAATTCAGGGACATAAAGACTTAACAGTCATTAGAATTTAAAGATTATGGGAGCAGGGATTTTTGTGTTTTATTCACCAATATATTCCTCTATGCTTACAATAGTGCCTGGCACATAGAAAGTGCTTAATATTAAACTTAATATAACTGTAACTCAATAAGAGTATCTCTGCAAGGAGACACATTTATCATCAGGAAATATAGGTTTTTGGTGATTTAGTCTGATATAAAATAAAGCTTAAAAAAAACCTAGGAAATCAAGGAACAAATGATTAGTGTGCTCCAGGCCCACCATTCCTAATCTGACCTCGTAAAAGATTTCAGACCCAATCCCAGACCCACTAACAAAAATTTCACTGCATATGTCTAATTTTTAAAAGCTTTAATGCCATAAATCAGATGTCTAGAATCACAGCTGTGTGGGCAAATAATTCAAAATTAAGTATAATGAGTAAAAACGAAAAGTGAAAATACAGTCATGATTTAAAGAAAAATCCATACACAATAGATACCAAGGCTGCAGGAGTAAAGTTGTTATTTTTCTGAAAAATCCAAGAGCTTGAAATATGTGTCTGCCAAATGTAACTAACTAATATTTGAAATATGCCAGTGTGACCAAAGAACCAAAATTTAAATTTTATTTAATTTTAACTGAAGAGTCACATGTACCTAGGGGCTACCATATTTCTAGATCATGTAAGCTGTACAAATGATTGAAAAAAGCTTCAAAATGTATAAATGAAGCAAAAATAAAGTTGGTATTTCATAGATAATTTTGAGGTTAATATAAAGATAAAATGTAAATAAAATAGATTAGTAGGCAAAAACTTACATTAAAAAAAGATTTTAAAAGCATACCTATCAAGGACATTTTACATATTAAGTGGCGAACACTTCACTTTTGTTGACCAGGGAATGGAATCACTTTTTGTAGTTTCAGAGCCCCTTGATGGTAACAACTTAAAATAAAAAAAAAAGAGAGAGAGAAAGAAAACATTTCCCTCTCATAAAATGTCATTATGAACACACATAAATGTATCCAGCAGACATTTAACTTCATGTTCAATTCTTATAAGTTACAAAGAAGAAAAACATATTCATTGGAATATTATTATTTTAAGATTTAATCTAAAGTTCCTTTCCTATTTATGATTTTGTGAGGTAATCTGTAATTCCTCACTAGCCGTCTTTGACAATACAATGACATTTAGCATGGGACACTACTGTGAAAAGGGACTTTGTGTATTTTTTCATAACAGAAGAAAATTTAACACAAAGAACTTGTTATTTGAATTCAATTTTCCACCTAAGAGTCTAAAAAATGATATAAAATCTACTATTCAATAAGTAAATACCAAAATAGTAAATCCATTGTAGGTAATGGTTATAACGGATATTTACAGTTGCTGGCAAAGTATTTAAAATGTCAAGAGTTAACATTTCAACATATACTTAAGATTAACAAGCTGAATAAAACATGTTAAAAAATAATAAACCTGGCTTTATGAACTCTTTATATAAAATAAAACAGAAACAATCTATAAAAAGACTATATTGGGAAAATTAAGATAATCAATCTGAAAGTAAAATCCTAAAAAAAAAATCCACTTACAATTAAAGTGTGCTATCAACTGAAAAGAACTTTAAACATACAATAAAGTCCATTACCATTCTAACTTTCAACAGCTCCTCTACTTAATTGATGTACTATTTTAATTATTCTTCATATTTGGGAATACAGAAATTTTGACTAACATACTTATTTGTATCTCTCCTCTCATACAAAACTTGTGGGATAAACAAAATATATCTTTTTCTCTATGGAAAACTGTTAGAACAACCGTCCAGAGCCTTTAAAGTCTTACTAGTTGTTGAAGAAACATAAAATGTTTAATTAAAATATATATGTTCAAAGAAAGTAGAAGAATGCTATCATTCTGAAGTTTTAGCTCCCAACAGGGCTATAGAAAAAATTGTGTACAAATTGAGAAAAAGGTAACCTGGAAATTTTGGTGCTAGACTTCATTTTGGGAATTCCAACTATCCCTTCATTTATTTTTATTTTTAATCTTATTGCAAAATTAATATACACCCATTGTACAAAATGTTTCTTGTACAAAAATGTCTTGTACAAAATTTTACAATA